ACTCACGGTATTTTAAAGTAGAGATTTCAAGCTTTCATTTGAAAAAAAGTTCATCATTTTACGATGATTTTTCGTGGAGTTACCGTTAACCAAAGTTGACCAATTTTTGCTCAAACTTTTTCTATGCCATAATTTTTTTGAGCAGTGTATTAGAAACTTTGTACTACGAGTAAAACCGATTTCATGTCTGAATTTTCCAATAAGGGTTTGAGAAACCAAAATTTGTATTATAAACAAAACAATTCTATCAAATCTTAACCAAACTTTAACTCACCAAACAAATTAAATATATAAGCTCACTAGAATAAATCAAACATATTAAAGTAGAAGTCGAATTCACGCTGCCTAAAAAGACGCGTTATAATTGTTTACACATAGGTGTGGGTTATCGCGAAGAAAATCATCACGTACCTCGGTGGTTTAAAGGTAGGACGCCCGTCCAGCGTGGAGATCCGGGCTGAGAGCTGAGGTGATTTTCTTCGCAATAACATTATTTACTGATTCAGGGGGGGGGGGAAGAGGATTCTTAGAGATGCGTATAGCATCAAAGTGATTGAATTGTTACAGCGATTTAATTTGTTACAAATTATTCCGGCCTCCTGTAATGAACTGTGTTTCAAGACCGACAAGTACGCGGCGCGCAGTTTGCGTGTAGTTGGATATTGTAAAGAAATTATTACACCATCATCTTGTGTTGGCTCGCATACGGCTTCTACTTTAATATGTTTGATTTAACTCACCAACTTGATACACTCCAACGAAGTTCGCCTTCTAAAGACTTTTATAAACTGCGACATCCGTGGGATTCAAATCACTTTTGATCTGCCTCTGTTAATGCGCAAAGACACTTTCATTTTCGACCTAAGTCGTCACAATTGTTAGGGATTATGCATTGTTTTTATTACGAGAGTAATATTATCACCTGCCAATTTCAACCGTGCTCGAGAATTACAACTCACTTGATAGTAGTTCGTTTTTTTGCGGAATTTCTATTACGAATCATATATATAGTGACATCATTATAGATATTAAATTTACCAAGTTTTATACATTGTTAATTTTAATTATTCATTCATTACTGTTATTTATTAATTTTATCAATGCTAAGATGCGAAGTATGTGTTTTATTACGTTCGAGGTGAATGAACTTTGATATAATTTTTCTGAATCAATTTTCTTCTTTTTTACATCTTTTTTATTGTCTCTTTTTTAATTTTTTTCTTTTGTATTTAAATTTGAGGACATACAGCTAGACCATGCAGCCCTTCAACTGCACGGACAGCTATTGGAGGTAAACTGTTTCCTCACTCACTAGACGTGGAAGAACATACGCGTTAAGAAACTAAGAGCGGGAGTTAAATATAATTATCGTAAATTGTCACTGAAGATGGCTAAAAAAGATAGTCAAAACGTTTGACTTTTAGAATAAAGTAAATTTTATGTAAATTAAATATTGCATACCAATAACCACGCCGATTCTCATCTGCCTTACTTACTTATTGTTTTTCGTTTGATTTCAGAGAAAGAGGGCAAACGCCCCTCCTTGCCCCGCTTCCTCTGTGAACGCCCCTAGAAAGTAGCGTCTTTTCAGTTGGCCCATATTCTAGAGTGGATAAAAAGTACGTTCGATTCGCAGTACGCGTCTCTGTGCGCGTATCTATGAGATAGAGTGTCTCTCTCTAATCTGTGACTTTTCATACTTTCTCCTTTCTCACACATCCTTTTTCTTCCAATAAATTCTTTGAGGGTTTGGACAGGGTTTGGTAATAATAACAAATTAAATAGTATGTAAGATATATATTGCCTGTGAACTATACTAGTTTGAAAAGTCTATTGATAATTCTTTTTGCGAAATTATCACACAATATACAGGGTGGCTCACGTAAAGTGTTACAAGCTAATAACTCTAAGAATATTTGTCGTATCAAACAGTTGTTCATAAAGAAGTTTCATGTATTAGAGGAGCCTTTCTAACTACGTAAACGAAAGTGTTCCTCCCTTAAAAGGGAAGGGGGGTAACTTCAAAATTTCAAATAGAACCCCTTATAAAATGTTACATATTTGGATTCTACAAGGAAAAAAAATTTTATTGGAAAACAATGTCAAAGCGTAGTAAATTTTATTGGAAACATTTCTTCGGAAAATGCTTCTATCAAAAGTTATAAATATTTAAACTTTAAAGTAGAGTGCATTCAAATTAATGATAAAAGTATAAATTAAATAAAAAATTTCCAAGTTTTTCTGTTTTTTTTTTTACCTTATTAAATGTTTGAACTGTTGTTGAACATTTAATATAGTAAAAAAGAACAGAAATACTTTGAAATTTTTTATTTAATTTATACTTTTATCATTAATTTTAATGCACTCTATTTTTTACAGAAGTATAAAAAGTTTATTCTTAAGGCTCTGTGATAATTAATCAAATAATAAGAAAATATTTTTTAGAAGCATTTTCCAAAGAAATGTTTCAAATAAAGTTTACTTATGTTTTTAACGCGTACAATTCAAATATATAACACTTTATAGGGGGTTTTATTTAAAATGTTGAAGTTACCCGCTCCTTTCAAGAAGGGTTAAAGGAAGACTTTTGTTTACGTTATAAAGGTCCCTCTAATACATGAAACTTCCTCATGAACAACTTTTTGATACAACAAATATTTTTAGAGTTATTAGCTTGTAATACTTTTTACGTAGACCACCCTGTATATATACGCAAATTCGCAGTAAGAAATATTGCTATCTTTCAACTGTTCCAAGTAACAAGGTGACGTTAAGTGACGCTTCAAGAACATCTTATTGACGTTGAAGATCTCATTAAGACCTCATTTGACGTCATCTTACTCTTGGGGTGATCCGCTCTGAGCGGCTAGTAGTTGTGTTTCGTTGCTTGCGTGAGCACATTCGCGCGCTATTTACGTGCCGGGAAGTGAATCGTGGAATCAAACAGAGTGTTGG